TTTTATACATTTAAGAAAAAAGATTAATTTTAATATTTTAGCTTGAAAATGCATTTATTCAAGTAACATTCTAAGAAAATAAACTAATTCTTTTCTTCTTTTTTATTTTTAACTTTTAAACCCATGTTTGGCCTCTTCAATCAAAGTGATTGAGGGGAAAAATTAAATTTAAAAATGTGTTATTCAGAATTCACTAAGCCAAATCAGGGTACAACGAATATAAATAATGAACTTTCCAAATAACGTTGCTGCCCATTTGTCAAATTTATACTTCTGAAAGCTCAAGATGGCACAGAGTTTGGGAGAGATGCTTCCTCCGGTCTTCTGCCCATTTATTTAGTCCACAATTAACATGGGGGCTTCCTGTTCTTGGTGATGGAATACACGGTGAACCTGCAGACCAGGTACCTGCCCCATACCAACTCATAGACTAGGTGACATGGACAGTGAGTAAATATGCAAGATGGTACCAGATAATGATTTTCCCAATGAACAGAATAAAGCAACATGACAGAGAGTAACTGGGTCTGAAGGAGTAGCAAGCCACTTGAGAGTGGGACTCTACAGCTAGTTCAACACCATCCTGGGCTTTGGCAGAGACTCTCAGGGCAGCCCCAGCCCTGGTTAAGAGAACTTAACTGCCTTCCAGAGCTTAAAAACTCTGGTTTTAAGCTTTCAATCAGTGTCTTCATGATATGAGAAAAATGAGATGGTTTTCAATCAACGTTTTAACCCAAAGAAATGATAAATATTTGATGAGGTCGATAGGCTTACCCTGATTTGATCATTCCACAATGCATACATGGACCTCATAAATATGTTCAACTTTTATGGGTCAATTAAAAATTTTTTAATAATTTTTTAAAAGTTTGAAAACCACTCAAACAATCTCTGTCAAACTACCCCCCAAAATTCTCTAACAGCAATAGATTGCTTTCATGTTATTATTATTATTATTATTATTTATTATTGGCCAATGAATCTCTGAACACTTCAGTAAGTTCACTCATCTTTTTTATCTGAGTATTTAAACAACCCAATAAAAGTCACCGAAAGCACAGTGATAAGTGAGTTTTCAGATCTTAAAACCTGAATGAGCATGCACAGCTCCTTAGCCTCCAGGGCTAATATTCATGAGCACAAAAGGTGGCAATTATCAGCTCTGAGATTTGTGGGCAGGTGTAGCATGCACTGGTGTTGGGTACAAATATACCCTTTATAGTAGAAGCAGAACAGAGAGGATTCAACTCAAATCCACTAGACCACCCAGCCCTCAGGGTATCAGGGCCAGCCATATGTACAAGCTGAGCAGGAAGGCAGGTAAGACCTCTAAATTAATGGAAGAGGGACAAAAAGAGCCACCTCTGCCATTAATGTACTGTGCAGGCCTTCCTGGGGGTTGGGGTGGGACAGAAATGCTGAATGTACACTCTGTGTCTATCTCCCCGCAACAAGCCACATCCACTAGTAGAGCATTTTCCAGCCATAGAGACACTGAATCTCATAATTCCTTTGACATCTCTCTCTCCCTTTCTCTTCCTCTCCATCCCACACCCCATAGCTCCTAGAGCAACCAGGGACAGAGAAGATGCCCTCCCTAAAAATCCTCGGGTCACCCTGAGTCTCTATCCTGGCTGCTAATGGTGCAATCGGTTGCAAAATTAATACCATATCTCATTCAATTAATGCATGGCTCATTCCTCCTGAGCTTAACTCGATTAGAAGAAATGTCAGGCACCTGGCCCCAGAATATGAATGAGCCTGTCTCCCAGTCCAACCTCTGCTTCCTTTAATGCTAAAGCAGTCAGCAAATTAATATGCATCAGCTCCTATATTTTTGTGCAGCATGAAGGGGGTGATGAGAGGCCAAAGGACAAGAGCTGCAAAGAGGAGGCGTGTGCAAGGTGCAGTTGGATGCACCATGCTGACTCTGACAAAATCCAGGGATGCCATTGGTTAGCTGGTCAGACAATTGAGCCAACTTTGGCCAGGGTTGAATTTTTCTCACTTTTTCATGGAGCTGAGCTGTTCAGTCCTGGTTATTTTGGTCACTGGACAAGTTCAAGAGCATGTGAGCATTCTCCTTCCAAGCAAATGAATACTGCCCTCTCTGTTTACTCCCCCAGCACTCTCCATAGAGTGAGTACAACTTTGTGTAAAAGTTGTACTAGTCAGTTTATTCTGTGGCCCATTGGCCATCTTTGTTGCATTAATTTTTTTCAATAAATGAAATAGAGATGGATCCTAAGCAAAAATGTAGAGTTTTAAACCTCCTATCTCCTTATAAGATGAACTGTAAAACTTAATTTCCAAAAAGTTTCAAATCAAAGACTAGGTTTATTCTAGATAAGCTTCCTCCAAGTAAAAGGATGTTAACACCTATTGGATGCTTGTTGTCAAAAATATTGACCTGACTTATTATGGGTTAATGGTAGAGGATGAACAATCTGGACCTGTTATTATTTGTTCTTTCTGAGCCTGTTATTTCTACAGGGGAGAAAATAAAGTACATAAAGTAATAACACCATTTATTCACCAAATATTTGTCAAGGTTAAGATAAAATACCAAGCATCATGCTGATCCCCAGGGACATAGAAGTGAAGAAAATAAATGCATTCCCTGCACTCAAGGACCTTGTTGTCTGATGGTATAAGAAACATTCAAATAAGCAATTGTGGTGGGAGGGGGGGTTAAAGTACACTGAGGGAAATTGCAATCCAAGAACAAGGGGTACACCCTCACTGAGAAGGAAAGAGAGACCGTCGGTCTCAGTCTCTAAAAGTAGTAAGCCCTTAAGAAAGAAAGCAATTTAATGTCAACTTCTCATGCCCTGGAAGAAATTGGGTGGTCCTTATTTAAGTTGATTTGCATACTATACTAGAGGGTGATGTTTGAAAAAGTATATCCTTGAGTAATAATATCAGGAACCAGATTTTGGTTATGCTTAGCTAGCCTCTTCATTCCATAATCCTTGTATTAGTCCATTTTCTGTTGCTATCATAAAATACCTGAGACTGGATAGTGCACAAATTTGCTCACAATTTTGAAGGGTTAAAGGACAAAATCAGGCAGCCCCTTCAATTCAGCCTCTGATGATAATGGCATCATGTAGGAGTGTATGCAAGGGTGACCAAAAGAAAACCAAGAGTAACAACTTACTCTTATGGGAATCAACTGGTATGCTATAAGAATTGCATTAATCCCTTCAAAGAGCAGCACCCTCCATGATCTGATCATCTTCCCTTAAGCCCCACCTCTTAAAGGTCCCCCCCCACACCTCTCACATTGCCACACTGGGTAGCGAGCTTGCAGCATGTGAACCTGTGGGGGACACATCCAAATCACAGCTACCCCCATGAGTAGAAAGACTTAAGTCAGCTTCACGGCACTCAAGGCTCCTTGCCACAGAATAGTGGATCAAGTGACATGTCCCCAGGTGACAAAGCCCTATAGAGAGCAATATGGCTCCAATCAGCAACATTTTGAGTGTAGTGATGGACAATCAGAAGGCCCATTCCCTTAATGCTGGTGAGTTAACCCTGGGAGAGATATCTTGTAGATGGCCCGGGAATCATGTGAGCCATGGGTGCAGCTGAAGTAAAAGTGGCCCTCACCCTTTCTGCCCGTGTCCCTGTCACAGCTCACGTTTGCCCCACACAATCCTGGACTGCAGACCCTGCTCCTTTTCAACTTCCCAGCAAGAAGTCACTCCTAAATCCTGAAGCACTATGGAGATTCCTAAAAAAAAAAAAAAAAACTAGGAATGGAATCACCATTTGACCCAGTTATCCCACTCCTCAGAATATAGCCAAAGGATTTAAAACCAGCATCCTATAGTGATGCAGCCACTTCAATGTTTATAGAAGATCAATTCAAAATAGCTAAGCTATGGAACCAACCTAGGTGCCCATCAATAGATGAATGGATAAAGAAACTGTGGTGTATGGAATGTTACTCAGTAACAATGGAATGCTACTCAGCCATCAAAAGGAATGATATTTGCCAGTAAATGGATGGAATTAGAGACTATCATGCTAAGTGAAATAAGCCAATCCAAAAAAAAAAAAAATCAAAGGCTAGATGTTCCTGTGATATGTGGATGCTAACACACAAAAAGTGGGGGTGTGGAGAAGAATAGAAGTTCAATGGATTAGACAAAGGGGAATATAGGGAAGGGATGGGAATAGGAAAGACAGTGGAATGAATCTGACATGACTTTTCCATGTTCATATGTGAATGTACCCCAGTGAATCTCAACACAGTGAATATCCACAAGACTGGGATCCTAATTAGAATAAGATATACTCCATGTTGGTATAAATATGTCAAAATAAACTCTACTGTCATGTGTAACTAAAAAGAACAAATCTAATTTTAAAAAAAGAAGAAGTCACTCTTATAAGGTTTCAGAGAGTTAACGGCTACTTTACCAAATGCCATGGAGAAGAGAAGGTTAGACCATATACCCCATTAACAGCCCAGCTTAAAATACCCACTCGACATTTCTGTCCTTCCCAATGTCCCTTCTCAGTGACAAGGAAACTGAGAATTTCTCTTTCCTAATCCCACCCTGGTATTGTCTCTGACCCTCCCTCTGACCCTTGCCCTCTATCCTGCACAGCTGTTTTATATCTTTTCTGAATCTTGGCCCCAGTCAACATCTAGTCACCGAACGCTGAGCTCCACTTGGAAATAGGCTCGTTAAGGAAACTCTTCAATGAATATGGTTTCTCCCTATTAGGGATTCCAGTAAATTTTGCTAGGGGAATAAAATTTTCTTCAAATAATAAATAAGGAAAAGTATGAGCAAGATCTAAAAAGGAAATATGGGACCAGCTGTGCATCCTTGTTGATCCTTGGACTCCATAGCATTCCCCAACTTACCAAGGGTCATCAACTTTTCCAACCATACTCAGAACCCCAGCTTTTCTCCATCCCATATCCCCTGAGAACTGGCATACCGAAGCCCAAAGTTCTCTCTGCCCACACTTGTCCACAGGTATACGGATGTTGGACCAGCCATTTATGACGGACATCATCGAGGCCTCCTCCATCAGCCACATGCCACAGCTGATTGACATCTACAGCGCCAGCTGGGGCCCCACAGACAATGGGAAGACGGTGGATGGGCCCCGAGAACTCACGCTTCAGGCCATGGCGGATGGTGTGAACAAGGTAACGACGAGGCCCCAGGCCACTCAAAAGGGGGAGTGTGATGGGTGAGGGAGCCGTGGCAAGACAGTGGATGAGGAGGCAGGACAGGGGGCAGAGATGGGCTGTTACCCTGTGTGTTGGGTCAGGCCCTGTGAGAAATGGACACCAAAATAGGTTTGGTGATACAGGAGATTTTTCTGAAGGGGACACTGTGAAGGACCCAGCCAGGGAGGAGTGTGGGAAGCCGGAAGGCCTCACACTGTGGTGTGACCTGATCCCTGTGAAAGAGAAAGGAAAGAGAACAGGAGAGGAAGGGTCTCAGACTGCAGCACTGCACTAAGGAGGTTTCTACTGGACCAACAGGTGGTCCTCATACCAAAATCGCCCATCTCAATTAGGAAGGGGCCTGCAATAGCACCCCGCCACACTCAGTGGTTGGTGGACACAACCCACCGGAAGTAATGTCTCAGCTCATACTAGGTGGTGGATCCAGGGGGCAGCAGCCTCCATGATGCACCCATAGCAGCAAGTCCAAGCAGTGAATTTTATAGCCATGGATACCTGATATTAGCCCAGGAGTGGACAGTTCAAAGAAGGGACAAAGGCAGAGCCCTAGAAGGAGGCCAGCCATGACATGTGGGGCAACAACTGCATATTAAGGGACAGGAGACTCCTTCTCTGAGACCTTAGGACAGGAGTCACCCCAGGCAGGACACTAGTCCAGGATCCAGGACAGAACACGAGCCCAGTCCTCCTGGGGTCAAGTGCCCACTCCATCACTCAGTGTTGGAGCATCTGTCAACAACTGACCTAACCTTGCTGAGCCTGTTTTCTTACCTATAAAATGGTCATAATGTGGAGTCCCTCGTGGGATCTGGATTGGGATCCCTGTGAGGTGTAAATGACATAAATATGCAAGCGCATGGTGCTGGGAAATGGCCAGAAAATGCTAAGTGTTTGTCCCAATCACTTAGCCAACCACCCCAAAGTTTCATGGCAAAAACACCACAATTATAGGCTTGTGGATTCAATGGGTCAGGAATTGGGGATTTCCTGTCTCTGCTCTATAATCCCTGGGGTCTAAGGTGCCACAAGGCTTTGACCTGAGCATTGGTTACTAAACTCCATGTCCTTGCAAGATGTTTTGATACACAAAGCTTAGAGTGCAGCCTCTGGTCCACTTGAGAGTGTGAGAAATGCAGTGTCAGCCCCTCCCCCCCCCCCCCCCCCCATGCATCCAACTCTGCATCTGAACATTGGTATTAAAGTCTGGGAGCTATTGCTCTAAGCAAACTTTGGGATCCATATCCTGTAACCCTAAAAGACTGAAATCCGAAGATAGGGCTTTTTTAAACCCACAAGGGGGCAGTAGAGGCAACACATTCTTCTGGCAGTAATGTCACGGTATTTCCTCATCAAAGTGATGTTAGATGGATGGTTTGGGGTCTAAACCATATGCTCTGGTTTGTCTCTGTGCAAACAGGAACAGGGGACCAGGTAAGTCCACTAAAGGGATTTCTTGTAAAGATGCTCAAGGAGGGATGAGGGCAGCGGGATGATATGGGCAGGTCCTCAAACTGCTTGGGATCAGATGGACCTTCTGGATCCAACGTGGTTCAGGATGCCAGGCACAGGGCTGTGTGGAGATCCACAACTCTGCTGTCACAGAGCTGGGCTACTCTCACCCCACCTGTTTTGCTGTGGCTATGTGCCTCCCATTCTCCAATCCATTCTTCTCTTCCTTGAGGCTTCGTTCAGGTGATAGTTCCACCTAGACATGGCCCCTCAGCAGCCACGCTCATTACAACCCATCAGCCTCAACTCTAGTCCTTGCCCTCAATGCTTTCAGGGAAATTTTGGCCCTAAATTAGGGGACACATCCACCTCCCTCCAGACTAGGCTCAAAACTAAGAAATATGATTCTGTTGGAAAGCCGCAGAACTTGAAGTCACTGGACAGTCGGAAGATTTCCAAAACCCCCTTTTTTCTTTTCTACTCTGGATATTATCCAATGGTGGTCATCTGTACTCAGGTGGTCTTTGCAGCCCTCTGATGGAGAAACTTCTGCTGTGCTATTGAACTATTCCAAAGGTCTGAACAGAGATGTAAGACCATATGTTCCCCTTCAGTTATGGGGTTGAATTGTGTACCTCCAGATTTACACATTGAAGTCTTAACCCCCAGCACCTTAGAATATGACCTTCTTTGGAAACAGATGTAATTAGTAAGATGAGGTCATACTGGAGTATGATCCAATATGATTGGTACCCTTAACCAACATATTGGTATCTTAATCCAGTTTATTATTATTGTTATAAGGATATTATTGGATATTATTGGAAATAAGAATATTATTAGTATCCTTATTTTTTTAAAGAAAAAGATGGAATTTAGACACAACGTGTACTTAAGGAGAATGCCAGATAAAGGCAGAGCCTGGGTGGTGCATCTACAAACCAAGAAATGCCAAAGATTGCCCAAAAAGCACCAGAGGCCAAGGGAGGGGCAGGGAATAAATTCTTTTTTGCAGCCCTCAGAGGGAACCAACCATGCTGACACTTGAATGCTGGACTTTTAACTTCCAGAACCAAAAGGCAATTAATTCCTGCTGTCTATGTGACCCAAGTTGTTGTACTTTACTACCGCAGCCCTAGAAGGCTAAAGAAAACTAATACACACTTCTTTCAAATGGATAGTCAAGAAAGAAATGTGGCCAAATTCTAGTAGTGTGGAAATGACCTGATCACTCTTCAAGGTCACCTTGATATCACCTGGATTCCTCTTCTCTAACCAAGATGGTTGACAGTTGATCCAATGATAGCTTTTTTCCTTCTCCTTTGGGACCTCCTGAGGGCGCCTTCCTCCATTCTCTAACAGTTACCTCAAAGGAATAAGCAGGCCAAAAAAAATTCATGATGTAATCCTAGGAGAGAGACATGTTCCTGAGTTATAACTAATAATGCAGATGGTACCCAGTTCCTGAGTTCCAGCAATGCACCGTCCTGGAATTGGCTCCTTCTGACCTCACATCGGTAGCTTGGAATTACACCTGGAAATTTGCAGGCATCACAGCTAAAGATCCTTTATGTCCCCTTCAGAGACCTGGTTGTTAACCACACCCCAGCTTCCCTTGAATTATAGCATTGGCTTGGTTATGTGTTCTCCCCACAAGCAAAGGCCATCCTTGCCTTCATTGGGATAGAAATTCCCTTTGAAAGGGGAAAACTTGGAGGAAAAACACCTGAGACCCTATAAGTCTTGTTTCCCCAAAATAGCAAGTTTTCCAACCAGAGTCACTAGTTACCCCAAGACTGTGTAGGACAACTTTTCTAAATAAGTCAAAGACCTCACCTCTTAGGAGATTCAACACCTAGGCTTTCAATACAAGGGTCCCAGAAACTCGGTTAGGAATGGGAAAGAGTCCTTGAAAATCCAATAGACATGAATTTTCACTGAAAGGCATTTTGTCACCCCAAACCTTCAGAGAGTTAGGCAAACAGGTGACGTGTGCCCTCTGTTCACATTAATAATGCAGATGGTACCCCGTGCAGAGCACCCCTGGGTGGCTGCTGTCATTTTCCACCAGCTTCCTCAGTGCTGAGCACTTCTCTCTCCTCCATCTGTAGCCTCCCTAGCTGCAACTAAAAAGGCCTTTTCAAGTGGGATTGTTCTGCAAAACATGTCAAATGCACCAAAACTTAAGAGAAAAAATTGTTATGGCTTATCTTCAGATGACAGCATGTAAATATTTTAGAAAGGAAAGTGAATATGATGAAAAATACATGATTTCTCATTTGACTTTTCCCCAGACTATGGGAATGAATCTTTCGTTGCTTCAAGGTGACATTTTTGGGACAGTATTGTGGAATTTTGTGACAGTATCAGACACTAGCAAAGATTTCCTCCTGGTTATTTTAGTAGCTTCATCTATTCTAAAAGAAAGATCCACCTCTCAAAAGTGATACCCACCCAAACGTGAAGTCTGATAATTACCTATCACACAGTTGTCGTTCTTAGGTTTGTTTTTTAATCTTGGCATCCTGCACATATCTTCTGTTTGATGAACAGAGTAACAATAAAAAGGAAAAGGAGCCAGGCATGGTGGCCCACACCTGTAATCCCAGCAGATCAGGAAACTGAGGCAGGAGGATTGTTGAGTTCAAAGCCAGCCTCAGCAAAAGTGAGGCACTAAGTAACTCAGTGAGACCCTGTCTCTAAGTAAAATACAAAACAGAGCTGGTGATGTGGCTCAGTGGCCAAGTGCCTCTGAGTACCTACCTGGTACCCACCCCCCAAATTAAAGGGAAAGAGGGAAACAAAAGAGGAGGATGAGACCTTTACCAGACACACATTTTGCCACAGGCCCCATCATGCCCAATTGTCTGATACCCACTTCACACATAAACATCACCTACCTGGCTCTTTGGAGATCTGAATTTCCATTTTCTAAGTTTGCTCGATAAATACTTGAGGGAGGCAGCAAGGAGCAGGCAAGAAGTAAGGAAAAAAGGAAACCATTTCCCCTTTGTTTCAATCCTTGTCTCTCTGTGTAGTCTCCACGTTGGTTTTAGAGTGAAAGCATTTTTCACATTATAGATGGGAAGTGGGTGACAGAGACCTCTGAATTATGAGATAGTGTAATAACTCACTTCTGTCTTAGTTTGGGATCTCCCAGCAGCAGACCCTGAGACAAGATTTGAGTTCAAGCCAATTATTTGGAAGATAAAGGGAATATCAGAAGTAAGTGGGGAGGTATGATAAGAAACAGAAGGGGTCAATTCAAACTGTATAATCCCACCAGCCACAACCATGGGCAATTGGTAAATCATGTAGAGCACACAATGAAGTTATCCCACCCTATGGCAAAGGTGCAGGGATAAAAACTGGATAAGATTTGTTGGCAAGGAGAGGAAATGCCTCAGGATTTGCAACCAGAGGCCAGGTATATGGAGCAGGCTTTAGCCTCTTGGGAGAAAGCCCTAAGACTAAGAGATGCATATGCTGACTTTAGGAAATTCCCA